GGCAGGTGCATAGATTTGGAGAACTACCAACTCTAGAGTCATTATTGAAATAGGCTATTTGTTATATAGGGGGGTTAGTTGTTCATATCAGATTTAATATAAATCTGGAAGTATTCTCTCAATAAGTAGAATCCAGCCATAGTCATAGTCACAATACTGGAATAAACAGTAGCCGACTGCCTGAAACCAAGAGAAAGAACACCAATAAGCTTTCCTTTTTCTAGAAATAGAGTTGATCCTGCCAACAGATGTAGTTCACAGACTGGGTCTCCTGTGCAATTTTTTCCCCTGCTCATGTTGCCTTCACAATTGACTCTTGGAGAGGAGGAGGGAGAATGGGCAATGGGAGGAAAACTCAGTTTCAGTTCTTGTCAGTTATATAGTTCTAAACGAAGGTATTTTTCATGCTTAAAACATTTCGGATAAAATTTCTATAGTTTGTTTGCAAGCAAGTAAGAACAGCTGCATCACTTTATTGAAAGTTGGCTCCCAACAAACAAACAAAAAAATTCAAGGCTGGGGTATATCTGTGCCAAATTTCAGCCTGGAGTGAATTTTTATGAGTTATAAACTCCTGCCATTTATAATGGAAATTCTGACAGCTCTTTAACTATTTCATAGGAAACGTATGACTGCAGTACTTTAGGGAGAAGAAATATGTTCTCTTTCTGGCTGACCTTGTCTCATGATTTAGCCATTTTGGTGGTTCCTGCAATTCTTCTCCAACTGTTCAAAAAAATTACTGTACTCCTGATGCATCTTATTATCAGATATCATTGTATTGACTTCTGCAGAATAATGCTGCAATGGTCCTGTCTTGCAAGTGAGATACATTGACTGGATGAATATATTGGAGCATCAGACATAAATAGGCATTCTGTCATCTTTTCTTCACACCATCCTCTAAGAAGGTCCCTTTGATATACAGGTTGTTTTTTTTTCCCCACTAAACGTGATTTAAGTTATATTTCCTCTTATCATTGAGTATCTTCTAAGTTATTTTGTGTCTTTTATGAATAATATCTGACCAAAGGATAATATGGAGATCTTCACAATATATAATCCCTAGGGTTGAGGAGAGATTATACCATGAAAGCAAAATCATAATATGAGTTCAGCATCCACAATATGCTACAGAGAGGAGCTCTATACTGAACATGAGCAGAGTGATAGAAAGAATGGACAACGGTAGAGGTGTGTTTCCCTGAATCCGGTATATCACTGGAAAAGACCTTTCTTTTCCAGTTCATGTTTTAGAATTTCACTGCTGCACTATAATATCCCCGTGTTGAAGGTGACCATAAAATGAGAAGCTTGCACTATTGGCTGTGAATGTGAGACCACATCTGACTGAACAAATGGGAGTTCTGCATGCACAAAACTACTGGCACAGTTTTAGAGAAAAGGTTAAATTATTTGAATATAACAATGATGAAAGCTAAATGTAAAACTAGGTAAAAGTAGTGGTTCAAAATGGACAAAGCGTTCTACTTTTTAAGCATTTTAGCTCACCTTTGGAAATAGGTAAAAAGGACAAAAAGGGATGTATCATTAGGGAGGAAAAAATGGAAAGTACTTTTTTGAGAAGCCAAAGCAGTTATGCTGAGGCTCTACCCCTCTGAGCAGTTTCTTCACAGATTCCTCTTTTCATTCTCCTCCTTTTGTGACTGTATCTGTACCTTGGCTTCTGTTGACCTAAAGAAGCTATGGTTAACAGTACACAGTACAGCAGTAACAGACCCTTCAGACAGCAGAAATATCCCTGAGAGATATCAAGTGTTTTATGCTTTATTATTAAGTTGAGATAAATTATTTATGCCATTTATAAGTACTTTCATGTCCTCCTCTGAGCTCAGTTCCTATGGTCTCACAGTAATGGAGCACTCTTTGTGGCTGCAAGAGATAATCCCTGTAATTTGTAAAAAGTCTATCTAAGACACTTCTAGAAGATTCTGTGTAACAAGTTTCTACAAGGAGATGTTGTGAAGCAATGGTCTTATTAGCCCTTACTTGGACTGACCTGCATGTCTCCGAGTTCTGATACTTGAAAATAATGTTCTGGTTCAGAACGATGAAACATTTACACTCACTATAATTTCCTGTATTACACATTTATATATGCATTAGAGATGACTAACCAACAAAAAGTATAATGAAATTTTTGTTTTGATTGAAATGTGGAGGAAAAACGTCATCCACTTTTAATCTACTTATTTGCTGTCTGATGCTTACTGAACAATTTAATAAACATTGTACTAGTGGGTGGCTATCCCTACATGTGTTTTGATGTCCCTCTGGAATAATAGGTTCTGTGCTGATTTGTTCACTCTTGCTTGTTGCTGTCATTGTCTGTGTTAAGGACCATTGTTCCCCAGATAGGACCCCTGTTTTACAGAGTAGGTCCTGCTTTAGGTGCTGGACTGTGAGAAGTTTTCAAAATGTTAGATCTGACTTTTCAGCTGAAATAAATGCTACATTCTTTATCTTCTTTTTGCATCATTTTCATTAAATGTTCTTTTCTACTTTAGGAAAACAAGATTATAAGAAAACCAGGCCTATGTTAAGAGCTACAAGATTAAAAGCAGAGGCCAAGAAAACTGCACTAGGCGTAAAGGTAGAGATCTATTTGATAGCTTATTCCACCTTTGTGTATATGTTGTTTCTTTTCCCCATAGATTTACTGTGTGAATATTGATTTCTGAGAGATATTGTTTATGACACTTCAAAATCTAAGTGGAATGCCAGAATCTAAAATATTTATGATGGATTGCTTTTACTTAACCCTAAAATAACTAGAATAGTTGAAATGCTGAAAGATTTTAAGTAGTCCATGTCCTTGTTATGATGCATACTTACTTTAAGGTCAATAAAGTACTCTATGCTTAGAAAATTGATCTTTTCAGGGAGCCTCTTTACACACAGAACAAATGCTTTAACGATTTCATATAGTTATAAAAATTACAATAAACATCTTCCTTCTTCCTCTTCCTATCTTATACCCAGGAGTAATTTAATGACTGGGTTTGTTAAGTATTGTAAATTTTCGTCATTATTGTCTCAGTCTACATCCCTGTCTACTGCCTCTGACTTGGAAAAAGAAGGCTTAGCTAGCAGCAAAACACATGGAAAGGTACTGAACTTTATTTTGGAAATGTCCCTTTTTCAGGCAAATGTGGAGTATAATAATGACTAATTGGTCATGGCTGTGAATATGAACAAGGAGGACAGTTAGGAATATTTTGTGCTATCTACTACTCAGTGTGTCACCAAGATGGGATTTATGTGAATGCATATTGTTTAAGTTGCAACCAGTATTTTTCCCTCAAACTTATTATTGAATCAAATTGATATACACTTAGCTTAGCAGCAAAGGTAAAAACAGAATGAAATAAAAAAGTGGATCAAATACCAGGGTATTCTAGTGAAAGAAACTTCATAAATGTTAAAAGGAGAATATTTTCTTGTTTCTGGCAGATGAGAAATCAATTTTTTTCAAGTTACAGCTTATAGCAAATGCCAAGGTATTACTACCAAGCTGTAACAGCTGTTGAGCTGCCAGATGATGTATTTGGTTGTCTTCCAGAATTTGCTATTATAATCACGAAACAGTGCTTTCTTTTTGCTCCTGATTGCTGATCTCGATCAAGCATTACTGTGCAATGCAGTATGTTTTCACAACATAATCTCCTCAGTTAGTGCTGTGTGTCAGGTTTTAATGAGAAAAAGTAGATTGCCTTTTTTGTTTAAAGGATAGATTATTAACCTTTTGAGTTCAATGTTTTTTCCTTCCTTTCTTATTAAATTTTACTCTTTCATTTCATTTTACTTTCAATGACATGACCTTTTAAAAGTGATGTTCTACTTGAAGACTTTTACTGTACAGCCTTGTTCTTTTAAAATGTGCAAGTTTTTTGCACATCTTTCACAAATGAGAAAAATATGAACCTTGGTTCTTCAAAACCTTTCCTTATTTTCTTAAGTAATTCTTACTTTGAGGGAGAATAGGAAAGTGTATGTGTAATCATATGTATAATGAAGAATCAAGTATTAGTGAGTAAAGAAATCAAGAACCATTTATTTTGTACAAATATGTTCCTGTGTGTTATAGCAGAGTACCAGCTGAGTTTTGCCATCAAGGTGCACACGTGCTCTCCAGGTCATGGGATGTTGTGTTTCTGGGGTTCTGCTAGTTGCAGTGTGCAATGTCTCAGGTTTGCAATTCTGCCTCTGCCTTTAAAAAAAAAAAAAAAGACTTCTTTAAAATATTGTCTTCTGGCTGTAACATTTTTTGCACGCCTGGGCCTTAAAATATGACACTGAATCATCCCTAAACAGATCACAGTCATTTGCTTTGCTTCCTAATTGCTGAGAGAAGTTGACAGAGCTGAAGCAAAAGGGAAGGTAAGTTGGGCACCTTTCCCTTTGGGGATATGCTTGTGGAGGAAGGAATGCAGGGCCTTTGTATGCGTCCTTCTCACTGAGCCTGCTTAATGCCAACAACCTCAGGCTTACTAAATGTTACAAAACTTCCACTAGAATATGGGCAATCCCTGTAGAATAAAACTCTGCACTTCTACTGACCCTGCAGCACTCAGCACACAAGCAAGGCATATTTACTGTCTCGGGATAAGCTTGCACCTCTTCCCGTCTCACAGTGACAACTCTCCACCCTGCTCTGTCCCTCCAGTGCAGCAGAGTTTCACCATGGGCAGTGGATGTGCCTGGAATCTCTGCAGGGAAATGGCCCTCCCTACCCCAGGAGAGGCTGCTTAGGGACACGGCTTCTGTGTCCCTGTTGTGGGACCCCGTAACCTCTCCCCATCTCTCAGGCAAGGCTTGTTTTGCTCAGTTTGCTGTACAAGGGCAATCTTCTTACATTCATCCTCCACACCCATCCCGGATACTTCTCTGTTGTTTTCTGCATAAATTTTGAAACAAGAATTCCTTGAAGTCTCCTGCTTGCTGTGACATCAGGCTGTTATACTATTCCTCGTGTCTGTGGCTGTCAGAAGAGTCAGCAGAGCTGAGGTCCCATCAGGTTATGCACATTCATGAAATTATTTTGAAGCTTAAGTGTGCATTCCTTTAATTGTTTCCTAATATTCAGAGCTTTTGAGTGTGCCTGAGCTTTTCCTTTGGGAATATATTGTTACAGTTGTCACTTCATATTAGCAAAGTTTTCTGATGGTGATAAGCAACATAATTCATTTTCCAAAGGCTTGGATTTTAGTCTTTTTATATGATATAGGACCTGATTCTGTGCTGTAACAGTTGATTAACTTCAGTCTGCACTGAGGAAAAAAAACTGGTGCAACTACAGTGCAATGTAATAAGTAGGCAGCACTTTAAATAAAAATGTCTTGTAAATCTTTGAGAAAACACATACATATGTGTATTTACCATATATGTTATTTGTTTATCCAAGTTTCACTACATGATGCAGTATACAGCATAATAACATTTCTTATATTAATATTTTCTTATAAAAAGCCAAGTTGCACTTTATAAAAATATTGTAGAGGAAGGATATCCTTATCATACATGTAGAAATACAAGTTCTCTAGAAAAGCAGAGTATTTTTATAATTCTGTGAAATAGCTAACACAGTAAGTACCATACTGCCACTTAAAATGATTGGATTTTTAGTGCTCTAGAGCTGTTTTGCACTAGTGTCCTGAAAAGCTTATATTCAGTAGTATTTATGGGGGGGAGGGAAAAAAAAGAGGACTGGAAAATAATGAAGGGATTTTAGTCCTTAATTTCTATGAAGATTATGAAATCCCACTGTTGTGTGTTTCACCATGAGAGCTGACAACATTCACTTAAAAAAAAAGGCCCTATAAATGACATAAAACTTTTCAGAACCAATCCCCTGGAGATCCTTCACATTTCATCGCTGGCATACTAATTAGCTTGTCTTGTCAAACTTTGATTGCCTTGTCATTTTAATGCAAGGTTTAAAGTAACAAAGTTTCTTTCAGTCACTGCCATTTAGTACTTTTTAATTTCCCCAATGAGAGATTTTATCCCTGTTGATAATGTCAGAGAAGCAGCTAAGCACTAATAACTATCGAAAGTTAGTTCAAGCAGGGTGACCATGCTAGTACTCAAAGTGTAATGTTTGCTTTTTAAGCATGTTTAAAAATTAAATATTGTAGCAGAGCTATTGTGCTGGCTCTGTTTGCATATATGACACTAATGCAGACGGTGCCAAAACATACGGTGTGTCTTGGAAAAGCAGGACCCGAGAAACAACTCGGAGAGAAAGCGGTGTGCTGTATGTCTCCTTGTGTTTGGACAAGACAAAATTCTTTGCCAAAAAGGGAGCCTCTGAACCTTCTCTGTGTGGTCATTTTGTTGTCCCCCTGTGGGGAATTCATGCTGGTGGAAGCTCACCTCTTCATCCTTACCAGGTGGAGCACCAAGGGGTCTGCACCATCGGTGCTAACTCTGCTCTCAGAGGGTGAGGAAGAGGTGCCAGCAAGAGAGTGGCAAGCAGAAAATGGTTTGAGGAATGTGGAAGCTCAGTCCCAGGTAGCTGGGTGTTAGTATGCAGAGGCCAAAACTAATGGGAATTCTTGGGGAAAGGTTTTTTTCACAGGCTGCAAGAATGAATCCATGGTCTGTGGGAGAAATTATGAAGTTTTCTCTCTTCTTGTAAGTCAGACACAGTCTGAACGGTAGTATTTTACACCCACTTGCAAAGACATAATCGACTGCAGAAGACCACTCCATAGAGAGTTATTAGCAATGTAATACATTGATTGAGCTAAGGAAAAAATGTTTCCTAAAAATGTGAGAGCTTACTGTCTGTTATTCTTTTACATATCTATTTAATCTATTGTGTAGCTAGCTAGCTCACTGTTAAGAGTTTATCTCATCTGGAACAAATTATGTATGAATAGATAACAAGACATTCCTAGTGTATTTTGGCAAAGGGTATTCTCTGATTTCGTACTGTTCATAATCTGCTAAGTTAGTGTACTATATTTGCCAAGTTGGGAATATGGTTTCATAGCTTTGCAGAAATTAAGGCCACAGGGGACTATTAGATCATTTGATCTGGCCTTCTATATGTTACAGATCATAAAATTTCATCCAAATACTTTCTGGGAAGTCCAAGCACTTTATAATGGCCAAAATACTGGGTCTTCAAATCAGCTTATGTGCCTCACATCAAGAGCAGGGCAGCTTAATGTACCACCAGTGACCAAAGGGTGATATTCCCAGTGATCCCAGCAGTCAGACTTTGATCCCTGATCTTGGAATGGAAAGAAGAGCAAAAAACCCTAACAAAGAGAAAAGCAAAATCAGATTGCTCCGATCTGACCCTGGCATGACCTGTACTCATAAGTACAGTAATCATGGTGGCTTTGAGCATGTGAACAAGATGCACCAGGAAGGAGCTTAGGAGGATTTTCTGTACCATCTCGGAGCAGTAGTCCCTCTTTCTCAGGCTTTGGTCTGTACTTATGACCAATCTCTAACACTTCAAATGATAGTTGACAACAACAAAACCTCAAATCCCAGAAATGAAATCAATACAATTGGAGGGATATTTCCTGAAAGAGAAGGAAACTTCTTTTAATCCTGTGTAGAAAAGTCTGAAGCACTGAAGCATGAGATGTCACTACTTTCAACAATCTGGTACTTCAGGGGTTGAGAATATCGCACTGACAGTGTAAGCAATCCTAGTTTTCCTAGGGCTCTGAAGGAGGGGAGCAGTCTGGAGGGCCAAGTTCACCAACTCCAAGTCTGGCAGCCAGGACCTCCTTTTCACACAAGCCCAAGTTGAAGTATTCTTCACAACAGCTAAATAAAAATGTACTTTTTTTGACCATAAAAGACTCACAACCATGGAAGTCCATATTTTCCCAAAGATGTAATTGGAATGTTTGGTCATTCTTGCTCCTAGGAAGTGGCATCTTAATTCAAGAATGAGCTTATCTAGCCACAGCTTCACCCTTGTAAACAAAAAAGTTCTTGTAAACAAGGTAGACGGACCCCACACTGTGAAGCACCTTGCTTAAATATAGGTGTATGGCATATATGGTTATATGCTGTAACCGAGGTACCTCTTACTGTTCTCTGTGAAAAAAATAAATTCCAGTCATCTCCCTACTGGAAATCCCCCTGCCTTTGCACATCCAGAGATCACACTTAAATCCAAAGACCTTTTTAGAGTCACAGTGTTGCAAGGCAGAGTCCTCTACTTTGTAAGTACTGTCTACGTCTTTGATACTTGTATATATTATCTTGCATTTAGCTATATTCAAATAAAGCCTGTTGCTTTTTTATCATATAGCCATACCTTTTAGATGACTCTCTACCTTGTTCCTGAGTAGTTTGTTCTGTTTATTTGAGAACATAATGATCTTTGGTCCATCTGAAAATTTTAACAGTAAATAATTTATAACATAAAAAATTAGAAGTTAGCAAATTACTTTTGTTGCCTTTTATTAGGTGTAGAATGGCCTGCATTGAGGAATTAAACATCCATTTTAAAATAGGATTTTGTTAAAACTCTAAAAAATGGTCACAGAGAATGTCCAAATAAAGTCTTCCAGTTAGAAATTATATGAGATTACAAGGTTCATTGTCAAGTCCATGTATGTTTGTTTTCCTTCTACAGGTATCCTTCGTCAGCATGATTTTCTTTTCATCTCTTTTTCAGAAATAGCTAGGGATAGTTTAGCATTTCAAAGACAACAATTTGTGGTACTCTTTCACCTATTTTTAAGGTGGTTTCAGATAAAAAAGTACAATTCTTTTTGGGAGACAGTAAAAAACATGTAAAAAAATCTCCCGAGAGTGTTATATTTCTCTGTATGTGTAGGATATTATGCTGACATACACAGTGTCCACATTTGTGTTATTATAACCAACATTTTTTCCCTTACCCCTATTTTCTCATCTCCTGATTAATTTAGATCCCGACTCTGCAACTTGCTCCATGAGGGTGACTCTGAGGACATTATCCAAGTATTTTGGCATGACAGACGTAAAACTGACAAAAAATGATAGAAGAATTAAATCTACATTGTGCTGTAGTGGCATGTGTTTCCTTTATGGAAAAGTTTCTGAAAAACTTAACCAAGTTGAAATCAGTAGAGTTCTACAGACATAATTCTAAATATAAGAGAATATAATAGAAAATTCTGTTCTTTTTAAAGGCTCCTATGACTGTACTTTGGGATTTGAGAGCAGGGATGTTATTTCCTAGCATTCAGTACCATGTTATAAAAGAAAAAAAAGGAGAATTTTTCTTTTCTGTGATCATTTTAAGTTTATTTCTATAGGACTTTTTCTGTATTGGTTAATTATTCATGATTAAATCCTCTGAGTAAATGGATTTCACAAAGGGATGATGGGGATGATCCATAAAGTGCAAGAGAAAGGGAGCTATATATGCCGAGTGGGGAGTATTTTAACATTTCATTTCTATGCATGGCTTAAAATACAAATAGCAAAGCATGATAAGTATAAAACAAATTAAAATGACAATATATACTGTTGTTGCAAAGACAGTGTAGTGGTGTAGCATCTCATTTGCTATTTACATTGCAAAATTTATGTTTATAAATTTCATAAAGTGAATGCAATTCTTAAGAGACTGCGTGTCCTTAGCTGAGAGCCAGGTGTCCTTTGTGAGGCCATTTATTTTAGATTTTTGTTACTCTGCCTTCTTCAGTAGCTCAAAATTAAGGTTCTTTCTTAATTCTCAAACCTGGAATTTCAATAAGGCTTTTCATTCCCTGGGTTAATAAATACTGATCCATCCACCCAGTTCCTAATGCCTGTGTAAGGAAAGTAGTAATGTTATCTCACTGTAAAACTTGGGCAGGGGAATTAACTTCTCCCTTCAAAGTAGTTACTGGGCAGCCTGAGAATAAAAATAAAGATTTTTCCCAGTTCCACTTCCTAGAAAACAAATCTTTAATGCAAACATTCCCCAAAATTTTGCTGCTGCTACCACAGAATTTCATAAAGGAGACTGCGGAGAAGGGAGAGGAAAGGTGAACCTATTGTAAAGCAGAAAGCGTGGCAAGCGTGGCATCCAAACAAGGGAAAAACTTTTTAATACTGGAATGAATTTGCCTCTGTGTCAAGTGTGAACGGTGCCTGCATTGTACGGTTTTGTTGTCCACTCTCCTGAGCAGATGGAGCTTGCAGTTGTATGTCACTTGTTTATTACATCCTCTTAAGATTAGTAGCTGTGTGGCCAGATGGGTCTGGGAGCACAGCTGTGGATACAAGGAAATAAATGAAACCTGTCTGATGCTGCCATGCCCTTTTGTGAGATACTGACGTGTGGCAACTGCAACAAAGCAAAAATCACTTTCCTTTAATATATTAGTGAATTAGATGTACTTTCTTTTTTTTAATCAAATCATATGAAATCAGGAGGATGAGGTTCAGAGGATGGTATAATTCTTAAGAGGAAAATGTAGTTGAAATCTGTAGCAAACAGCCTCAGCAAATTTACAGGAGCAATTTTAATGTGGTAAAATAAATTTGAAGTACATCTCAATTAATCACCTGTACAAAACGTAAAGCAAAGTTTTCTATAGAACAAAGGCTCCTATAGAGCATACGCCAACTAGGCAGTAGTATTTCAAAGTTTATTAGATGGCATATGTTGAATTATTGATCCAACATTCTGATAAACTATATAATGCATTCATGTAAATGCAAATGAAATGCTGTTCTTTAGAAGAATGCCAGACTACAGGCTAGACTTTAAAAAATGAAACTAACGCGTTTAACTCCTTCATGGCAGTGGACACCCAAAGTCAGTCACAAAGCTGCCGTGATTCTAGAGATACTGGATATAGTGTAGGTCTTCCTTGAGCTGTCATCCTCACTCCTCTTCTAGTCCAAGAGAAGAAATAGGCATTTTTAGGGAGAATTCACCTGACCTCTTTTAGAGGACCCAATGAATCTTACACTAAAGAGGGTCAGATGGACTGCAAAGTGTGACTGATTGTGTAGGTGAAGTGTAGGCAACTCCTTGCAGTCCTACTGGCAGAGTAGATTTGATGTAGTGTCATTTTACCAATTCAGATTAGTTGCTATAAACCTAATTAACTCTTTTTTTCCTCTTGTTTTAAGTATGCAGGTGGATTGTTCTGATACAGATGGTTTGTGGGTTAACGTGAGGCTGAAATTTTGAGAAGAGGTTGTTGCTTCTTTTTGTAAAATGGTTCTGGAGGAGTGCAAACCGACTAAGTCCTTTTGAGCACCCCAGTACATGATTTTAAAAATGCATCATAATGATAGGGAAGGAAGCAGTGCATGTTGTTAGCTGTGGCACTTTCCATGAGCTGAAGGAACATAAGGATTTTTCTCAAATTTCTATTTCTTCTTTCATTGTCTAGCAAAATGAGTCAACACTATACAGAGTGTGCTGTGCTTTCCAGCAAAATAAAAACTTAAAAATGTGAAATACTGTGACTTTGAAAGTAGTGTTATAAAGAGGTTGATCATACTATGATTTAGTATATCTTAGATCTAAAGTTAGAGCTTAGAGTCCAGCCTTAAGATAGCATATGATGATAGGCAGTCCCATAATGAGTATGACGTGTAGTACAAAAACATTTTTCTGCTTCTGAAAGCTGCTATAAATCATGTATACTTTGGAAGACTCTTTTATGTTAATTAAGGAAGATGCAGCAAGTTGCAATATTTTATGGGAAGAGAGGCAAGTGCAAATTGTTGTGCTTTTTGCCTTATTGCAGAGAGGAAGGAAGAAAAGTTTCATCCAATTCTGAAGGATTTTGTAGCTCCATATTGTAATGCATGCCAGGAGGTTGGGAGGTAGAGGTAGCAATTTTCCTTGACTTCCACCATACTGTGTTTGCTTCATTAAAAAATTACAAATTTGTTGGCAAAAAGCAGTAACATATTGCTAGAAAACATCAAAATTCACAGTGTAAATTCATAACTTAAATTTGTGTTCAAAACTGTGGTTTGTGAATTCTGTCTTTTCTTTTAAAAAAGGAAGGAATAGCATAATAAAAGGACATAAAGCTCCTATTTCTAGGTCATACCAAAGATCTTTAAGCCAAATATCCTATTTCTGGCAGTCTATCAGACTCACCAAAGTATTTATTAAGTGAATGGATTTTATAACATTCTGAAATGGTAATCACAAAGAAGGAATCATTAAAGTATCAATGACTTATGCACTTACATATTTCTGATGTTATTTTGATGTGTGTTATAGAATGGAAATAATATTTATTCCTGATTTTTCTGAAAATATGTTAGTATTTCTAACAAGTGTTGTTTTATTTTTTTTTTCTCTTATTTCTACAGGAAGTTGCCCTTGTCCTTGCAGCTATACTGGTATTTTTGTTGGCTTTCTATGCTTTCTTTTATCTTAACATTTCCAATGAAGTTGACCTTGATCTGGATCCAGATGAAAACTAGCAGATGCAATGAATCTACCATTAAGATTTCTTCTACTTGAACAAGACTACGTAGGAACGCACAGTCCCTTCACTGTGAGACAGTAAATGATGCAATTTCTTGCAGTCCAAATTCATAAGAAAGTTTTGCAATATGTCAATCACTTTTACATTCCAGATCTCCAAAATAACAGAATGGTCATGCCTGGCAAGTGTATTTGGAACAGTACAATACATGGAGTTTATTGTTTATTGTTTACATATTTTTTTTTTTCTCAAGCAGAGAACTTCGATGTCAAAAGACAGGTGCTATTATTATCATGGGTATTGATACTGACTTCACAGGAGGAGAGTCTGCCTTGACTAAATTTAGGAATCAAAGCTTCCTAACAGCCAAATTAGGTTCATTTTCCTTTCCCAAAAGAAGGCAGTAATACCAAATAAAAAGTCTTTTCTTGATTTGATATCAAAAAACTTTCATCCTTTCTCTCCCTTTAATCTTTCTTCTGTATGTGTGCACGCATGCACGCATGAAGATGGAAGAAATTGTAGGAAAAAAATATCTTTTTAGAAGCAGTCTGTCACCTCCTGTATGGACTTAATTTTATGTCATCCCAGATTCTGTGTGCCCATATATCTGCAGTAATTTTTTTCATTCTTTTGCCAACTGTTCAGCACACATGTGTTCTGTCAGAAATGGCACCTGGATGACAGAAGCTCTAACATTCGCATATGCCTCTGAAACACAGTTCTTTGCCTCCTGTGCTGTCTGAACTAGTGTAAATAGAAAGTTCAGTCAATGTTGGTTTTAATTAGTGTATTGCTCTATTATTAATATAAAGTCAAAATTGTATTTTAATTATACTCTTCCTGCTGGTTGTGGTATCAACTTGCTCACCTGCTGGGGGGATGTTGTAAAGAAATTATTTTCTAGTATATCATTTTAATAATCAAACTAATGTGAGAAGTTGTAAGTATTAAGAAACCTTTTTTTGCATGCATACTAATAATTGGGAAAAATCTTGGCTCCGTGTCATCCTTTGGTTCTTGCAAAGTACCTTTCAGAATATGCACTGTAGGATAACATTTCTGTTCCCTTTGATAACCACAAGCAACTTAAAGAAGTCGGTATGTCAAAGCAACTTCAGGGGAGCTGTAAAATTCTGGCTTTATCCTGTTCTGCTTCATCTTTGGCATATAGCTGAACTTGTGGTTGTAAAGGTTCAGTTTTGATCCTTTTAAAAATGTGGTCAGTCTTTCTCTAGTTCAGATTCACTTTGATACCAAGAAAAGTATAGAGCCATTGGTACTGAACGGGGCAAGGGAGTTAGGCAGATTGACTTAAAGAATCATAATTCTGAAACTGTATTAGCAAACTAACTTGGCTTTATCTTTGATACCAATTTCAGGACTGAATGTTAGGTTTAGCTGCCACTGAGATATTTACTACTTGTTCCAGAAATGCCTGACTAAGATTTCTTATAGTGATTTTGAAGACAAAGGGATACAAATCATAGAAAATATTGTAATGGAAAATATATTTATTTTAAATTGACACAGTCCCATCATCACCACTTAAGGAACTTAGATCAATACAGTTAATTTTTAAACCATACAGTAACTATGATCATATACATTATGAGTCTCTTAGGATCCACTTCTTATGTCATACTTAATTCACTTTATGCAGTACAAAACAACTGCTCTAGAAATTCGGAGTACAGTAGTCTTCCGAGAAGATTATGAAAGAGTGAAATAAACATATATGTGCAAATATTTCTAATTTTCTAATTAAGACTGTTACAGGCACAAAATCCTAACATTTATGCATTCATGTGACTTATAGTCCACTAATACTTGCACATATGACCAGACGCTTAGCAACTTGTTGCATTTATGGTGAAGCATTGTCTGACACATGGCCTGACTTTCAGTGGGGAGAAAAGCATATCACAAGCTGTCTCCTTGGATGTGACATGCCTTTCACTTCACCGGTGCCACACCACATGTCACAAAAGCTGCAGAGCTCTCCTCTTACTTTGCATGACCAATTTTCTTAATGTCTGCACACAGCTCTCTGGGTGATATGTAGTCTGAGAATGATGTGTAGTTATCCCCTTCTTGCCAGTTGTCTCATAACTTGCTTTCTGAATCTGTTGAAAAGCATTGAAAAGCAAGCTATTCTTTCTGTCAAATTTATGAACATGAAGTTCTTAGAACAGGAAGATTGCATTTCCCATAATTATGACTCATAGACAAAATCCAAAGTGTGTACATTTGTGACCGAAGCAGCTTCCCTGATTTGTGGCCTATCAGTCCATAGTGCCCACAAGTGCCATAGTTTTCACTTTGTCTGTTGGCTTTGTTTAGGTGAGGCCTTTTCATTCACATGAAAGATATTCTTGTGTAACAAGAAAATTTCCTTTTGCTTAGATAAACTGGATAGACTTCTGTTCTGTGTACATAAAAATACATGGCAAATATTGCACCAAATACACTTTTTCTCTTATCAGTACAATAATTTCTAATGGGACTATGTCAGTAGTTTTTTAAAGATAAAAGCTCACACTTTTCATCTAACTATTAATCCTTGGTTTTCTAAAAGGCGCAAGCACAGCAATATTAGCAATGGGTCCCGATTCTGAGCTGACCTGAAGTTATTCCTGCTTCCTGGAGCACTACATTGTCCATGCCTGATATTTTAAAGTAGAGACTGTTTTTAATCTTGCAGAAATGTGGCTTATTTTGCCCTTAATTATGTCTGAAATTGAAATACACCTCTTGGTTTTTGGAACAGCTACCTTTGTATGAGTTGCACAGTGTCTATTTTAATAATAAATGTATTTTTACTATTTTTGTGCTTTTATTAATGTTGGATGTGTCACACTGAATTATCTATACATTTGAAAGGACACTAAAGCAATCTGAAAAGTACAGCATTCAAATGTGAGCAGTGATACTCACCAGTTTTAGAGTACCTGGGTTATTCTAAGCAATTTTAGCACCTAAACTCATATTAAAATTAAGCATACCCTATGAATACTTAAAAGACAATAAAGAGAACTTCTCTTGGCATCTCACTCCATACCAATAGAGCAGATCTCTTTCTGCAGACAAAGTTGTTCCGTGTAGCTCCCATCAACTTCAGACATATTAGCTTTATTATAAAAGTAATACTTTTATACGCTTGTTTCAAAGAAAGATTACTGATCAAACAATTTACATATCAAACCTGGCTTAACGGGGCAGGTTTTTTCAAGGATATTCACCTCTGGGGAGAGGGCAGACATCAGTATTGTTGCCCTCTGATTGTGAAGTAAACTGAATTTCTTTCCACCAGAGGCTGTGAAGATGCCTGTACCGGGTCCTCATGCTGTGGGTCGGGGGAGATGTCCCGTCTGGAAGAGTCTTGGGCTAGGAATGCACAACAGTAGTGATTTTGCTCAGTAAATCTTTCCTCGACAGTTTTCCTTTTCCCTTTCATCCTACAAAAGCGGAGCTGGCATGCAGACCATCTCAGGACAGAAGCCTCAGTATACTAGTTCTACTAGTGCTGCTGGTGAACATTGCCAAGGAAGGGCTTTAACTCTATTTCCTAAAGTCCATAAATATATTTTGTTGGAAGCTTTGGAGGTATGTTAAGCATTTCCCTAATGGACCCTAGAGATATATTTAAACTTTTCTTGAAGAACGCTTTATTTAAAGTTCACTGTTGCGTGTCATATTGACATCATGTGATTCAGGATCTGTCATAGCTCCTTCCATGCATCAGACCAGCTGTAGAAGGGAGAACATGTAGACTGCAAGATTATGCTGCAACACATAACTGCGAACATACGCAACACTCATCTGCTTGCTTAGGTGTCATCTAAAGTAGTTGACCTAGCACGTTGTGTTTGAAAACACAGTTTTTAAACATCCCTGCTAAATGAAGGCACAGTTAAAACCCTACAAAACTGCTCATCCCATTTCCATGAAAATTGCTACCATGGCAGAGGCTTATCTGCTGATTTAGGGCCAAGTTTTGAATGCTGCCCTTTCGTGGAAGAAAATGTTGCTAGCAGCTCCTCCTAGAGTGATGATTCATTTTGCTCTGATACGGGATTATGCCTATAAGGCACAACAGCCAGTTGGTGAAGGTCAAGTGCATTCAGGACAGTTTTCAGTAAAGGACTGTACTTGAAATACAGACTAGGCAAATGAGAGTGCCAACAAACAGGATACTACAGATCTTGATTGCATTTCAAGTTTTACTTGCAGTAGCATAATAATTAGTGGTACTTATGACTAAGAAAATAACAGTATGGCACATCAATAAGACAGCAGAAATGTGATGTTGGAACTGCTTCTTAAAAGATTTTGTAGTGGATTATGCCTGTACTTTGGGAACTGAGTCCATGAGATGAATAAACTGGCAAAGATTGTCTGTGATCTTATGCTTACAATATTTTTCCCTGAAGGAGCCGACATAGATATTTTGCAACACTTTTGCCCATCATCCTCTTATTTTGATGTAATACATTCTTTTGTAGATGTATTTGGACACTTTTCTAAGAGTGGAAAAATATTTTTTGTAGTTTATCAATGCATTTAATTGTCAGAATTCTCGACTCTTTCTTTTATCCCCCTTTAATCACAACCAAATTGGTGGGGAGACAGCCAAAATGATAGGTACCAGTGTCTCTCAAGCAGATGTCACACCTCTATTTTTTATCTCGTTTAAATGAATAAACATGTTAAACTGTGAAGTATTACATTTTAGATTTTTTCATTAAAAAAAATGGGACAATCTGTTTACTGTCCTTAATTGAGACAACAATCCTGGTCGTTGCCAGTTTTGGCAGTTGTAATGATGAACTATAAATATTGGGACAAATCAACTAACTGGTGATTGTGGAGGATAGTTCAAGTAGAAGCCTCATTCTGCATCAATACTTTTTTCAGTGCTTTTTTTTTTCTACCTTCTATAACTTATACTGGTTTTGCATGTTAAAACCACAAATAAATACATTACTAGTCAAACAATAGGCTTGCTTCTGTTGTCTTATTCTGAATCACTACAAAAGCAAATAACAGCTGACAACCCTGCAGCACAGTTCATGCCTTGCCCAAATTCTCCCTAAAAGGTGTGTGTTCAGGTCAGTTATAAATGTAAGCTACAAAGAGCTTAATTTTGCTCAACCTTGGAAAAACTGAGCAGCATATAGATCTTTGGGAGTTTGCCATTTCACAAAGAGACTGTAGGAATTTTAAAGAGCAGAACCACAGGAGGTAAGTATGGAGTTTGGTGACAAACTGATGTCATTCTCGTATTGCAGTCCCTCTGGGAACAAAGTGGAAGAAAACGGCAGGAAAATGGCCACTTCTTCCAGGAGGCAGCCACCTTTGCAACTCACCGTGTTGCTCAAGAAGAGCGTGGAAGAAAAGCTAATTCTGATA